TCTGTTTCTGTATGGACATGTGTTGGTGGGCTGCGCGAACTGATTTATAAGTTAACCGAGAATGTCTGTTTGTGCAAACGTGTGCTGGCCATGCTAGTGTCATGGGAAGATGATTACGAAGACGATTGGTAAAGCGTCGGATTGGGTGGTTGTGTGCTTTTGCTGCTTTTATCGCAGTCACCAGAACGACCGCCCATTTGTAGGCCTATTCTCTGGCGGCAGATCTATTATGAGAGAGACGATAACTTGAGGACCGGGACAGAAAGCCAGTTAGTCATATAATTTGCAGAATTTATCATCTATTCAAGTCGAACAAGAGAAGAAAAGCTGAAAAAAGGTAATTACGGCCATGCCTGTGGAGTTGCATTGTTGCGGCAGATTACTCCGTAGGCCAGTCGAGTGAATCTTCCTCCTTGGCCAACATTCGTCTTCAGGCTGGAGGGAGAAAGTTGCCTATCCAAGACTTGGCATTGGCTCCAAGATACGCCCATGTCGTGGACATCAAGAAGCCTCGGTTCCCCCCAAAAAATGGGCCTGCTCACTTGACCTGCACGGGATTGATCAAATTGTAAAGAGCAAAAGGATTAACTGCTTTACTGGTTAAGGACTCCTATATGCGTTTATATGAAAATCATAAGTCCTATAGGCTCAATCGTGCCGTTAAGGTTCTTTCTGGATCTCCGCAGGTTTAGCTGCAAAGAACAGAAGTTCCTCGATGCCACCTAGATCTACATGGGCTTGGGTTTTGCATTGGCTCTTCGAGAGCCTGCTGTCTTCCCTGCTATTGGTTCCTAGACCCAAAGTACAGTCTGAGCTTGAGGCCAGGGCTTAGCTACTTATCCGGACAATATGTTAGTGTGTAGGATGTATAAAGATACAGACGTACATCTACTCATCGAATGCACGCACGTATATGTGTGCTTGTTTCTGTGTCTGGTTGTCTGTCTGCATGCATCCACTGCTCTCATGTATCAAAATCCCTGTATATAGCAATTGATGACTAGGCAGACTGCATATTCGGACAATTATTATGGTCATATTTTGAAACGATCAGTAATTATTGATACGAAAGTAGGGTTTCGAGACTACCAGTAAATCAGTGTAATGAGATGTATTCACCCTATTTC